ACTGTTTCATTGAATGCCCCATCATCCAATTCCTGTCTAGTTGCTTTTGATGATTTTTGTATGGCTGGGTATTTTTTTTTGGTTTGGAAAGTTTACTAAAGCCTTCATGAAGGAAGAAAAATGAGACAAGCTTGGGTTTGAACTGATTACTTTCTATTCTGTAAAGTCAGTTTGGACGTGTACGTCTGACACCAAAAAATGTACGTCCGACACCAATAAAATAAATGCTTTATCTGAAAGTCACAACAAGATAAAATGTGTCTTGCCTTGAAGTTTATTAACAAGGGTCTGCTAAAACTAAACACAGGAAAACTACTTCTTCAGGTCCTAGCATTTCACAGAGTTTGTGATACAAAAATGGAAACTAAAAAAATTAGCTTTCTCTGAGTACGTCTGACACCATGGTGTTATGAGTCAGTTTCTATAAGGATAATAATTCTGAGTGAGAAATTTTGTTATAAATGAATGTACCAACTAGCTGATGTCTTTAATCAAAATCAAAATCTGCTTCAAGATTATAAGTCTAATAACACACACTGTTGCAGTGTCCAAAATGTACGTCCGACACCGTGGAACTGCCCCTTACAACATTTAAAAAAGGAAAGAATGAATTAAAAAAATTAAAAAAGAATAGAACTTTTCAACAGCGCAAGAAATATTGTTTTTCTCTTAAATCTCGCTAAATCATGGCTGAATATATATATACTCCCAGACGTACATGTACGTGAGAAGCTATTCAAGTGATTATGTACATTATTGTAACTGATAATAGTTTTTTCATCAACAATCTGCCGGTCGGTACTTCAGAAATATTCAGAAATTCGATCAAATTGAAAGTCGAATATTCGAATAGTGATTATTCGAATCGACTCAGCCCTATTCCATAACATGAAATTTACAATATTTACATGAACATTGTACCAAGCATATTCATACAAACAGAGTTCATGCTGTCAGTCACCAGATGGCAAATATTTACAAACTTTGGCTAAATATTCCTGAGCATACATACATTGTGAGGAGTGCAAAGAAGGTGCTTGTAAACCACCTCCCTGCCCTTTGGGACCAGGAAAAATATGAAAAATAAAAAAACAAGAGAGAGAAAAGCAAAAGAAATAAAAAACATGGCAAAAGGGGGACTAATTTGCTTTCACGAAAACCTCAAAACTGACCCCCTCGTACTGTTAGTTCATCAGTTCATAGCCAACGAGCGCTTCGTTCCTTCTTCCGGAAATGCGCCCTCAATAAAAAGTGGTTTGCCCCCGCCCCCCCAAAAAAAACAATCCTGGTGCTACTCTACCCACGGAGGAATGTACATGTACTAGTATGAATTGACTTGGAACATTGTGGATTTTGTGCAACCTCTAGCTTCTGTGAAATCTATGAATGTTGAAGTACATACAAATATGGATCTCCTTTAACCCTAACAGTAACGGGCGTTGTTGGGCTTAGAGAACTCAGTACTACAAAATATTACGTAACACTCTGAGCCTGAAGGACCTCGGACTACAACTTACTCATTCTGGCTAGGTTACTTCCATTGTTACTCGTACAGAGAACAATGAAACCATGCATTCATAGTGCCACAGCACTGTATGGTACATTGTCTTCTCTATTGTATTTTATGGCTTCAGAGAATAATAGTGTCATGTCCTCTTACGAGCGACAGGGCTGAGTACCACATTTTACTACTAAGTAGTACTTTGTAGCATTCGGGACTGTTAGGGTTAATGGTACAAATGCAGTGTACATTGTACCATGGAGTCCCCATATTCAGTGATATTTGGTACACTTTGACTCGGTTGCAAATTTTCATTGAACAGTGTGGTGAAATGTCTTTGTCACGTTTCTTCCAACTCATGTATTTAAATTTTCGGTCTACGTAATGTGCATCAATATTATAGGCAGTAAAAATCAAGCAAAAATGTACATGTACACGTGTGTACCTACATACGTAAGTATCCTATAATTCAGTTGGAAGCTGCGGCAACAAATTGATTTTCAAAGTTGATGGGCCAGGTGTGAGACCATCAGGTATCATAAGCCATTAATAGGTTGGTCCATTAAGCCTGACCCCATTATAGGACCTGCAAAAGGTGGGGGGAGGGGGCAAGTCCCCAGTCAAACAAGTGGGGCCGAGGCCACAGCCCCTCCCCCTTCTGCCGCCAGTGGTTGGAAATGGAAGGTCAATCTAAAAAGAGGTGTCCAGAAATTTGGTAGGAATTTGCCATTGGGAGGTGGGTTCTTGAAGGTGGTGCACAAGTTAAAAGATGATAGTAACATTCACACCGACCCTCAACTTCCTCTCCGTCATGTCTGTCAAAATATTATTATCTTATTCTTGGCCACGTTTTGAAATTGGTTCTCGGTGCCACTGAAATAATTGAAATTATTTGTGTCGAAAAAAACTAATACTATACGCCCAGGTGATTTTATTTAACTGCTCAATGACCCAACATAATTAACACTAACAGAACATGAATGGATGGCATTAACTTGAATTTCACTTTTTGTTAGTGGTGGGACAAACCAGATAATAACTGCAAAGCCGGATTCCAAATTTAAAGCGTACAGTTGGCATACGTTTTAATACTAGGATCCCTCCTTCCGATCCACCATGCTAGGATTTACCCAAGCTGCATGTATGATGTAGGCCTACGTATTATAATCGTACATTGTGCCTGTATCAAGGACCAACTGACTGTCTAGTACGAACATGTACATAAGGCCGGCTCAGAATCATAACCAGGATTTCCTTACCTTTCACTCAGCTTTCCACGTTTACTGCTGATGTTGCTGGGTCCGCACGATGCTCGAGGGCTTGACGGGAGTTTGACAAGTCGCGAACGCAGGGCACAGCCACTGGCAAATGTGTCCCAGCAGGTTCTTCGTTACCATGTGCTTGATTGTTATGATTTACACCACGACAGATGAGGGCGCCCTTCTCATTTGATGGTCAATGATGCCTCCTCCTTGGGACCGTCGCAGCGTCGCGTGCACGGGAAAAAAGTATAGGCGGTACAGGTGGCTGCTGGTTTTCGCACTCAATTTAATTAAACCAATGTGAGCACTTGAACTGACTTCACATTGACTTCATTCATTTCAAAACAAATTCGAAAGAAACTTAGGGTTGTCGTTCAATTAACAGAAATGAGACTTTTGAGCAAATGATCATAAAAATGCTATGTGTAGATTCATCCTTTTTGTTCAATTAGAATTTAAAATGATTTCTAATTGATATTACCTGGATACCTGCAAGAGTATTCAAAGCCCGTGTCACCCAAGCCATGGACCAAAAACATTATGGTTAACTAAATTCGAATCGCATTTTGGCACAATATGGCCCTCAGTTTGGACGGGGCCCGTACGTTAATTTTTCTGTTCTCGTATTTGGCACACCAGATGCCAAAGTATACGGTAGGCCTAATATACGATCCAGCCTGTTGTTAAAACTTTATAGCATAAAAATGAGAAATCGATGTATGAAATAAAACCGACTCAGGTCAAATGTCAGTTGCATGAAACCATTTATTCATTTGTCACAACCATCGCATTAAATTACTTACATGATATTCAATTAAGGTAAACACGTGCTGGTCACATCACCCAGAGAGAGCCTGCACAACTTCTGATTAAAAAAATAGCGTAAATCCTACTGCTTTGAAAAATGTACATGACTCGCTTCGACCTCCGGGTCAGTGGCGGCAAAACGATAATAAACTGGGTGCCATCGGCAAGGCTTGGTGGATAGACTACAATATTAAATCCAGTGGTTCAAATTCCAACACGAGAATAAATCACAGAATAAGACTTACCACCTGAACTTCACCTAAGTTCTGCGCTGAAAGGTTTGAAGGAATAAGGATATATTGGTTTTTAACGAATGAATCGTGCGAGGGATGCCCGAATTATAATCAGATTTTGTCTCTCGTAGGAAACTTCATACAACAGGGAGACAGTCAAAATAAAATTCCGGCTTTTTATCGGTAAGATTCCACGGAGTGTAGGCAATTTTGGAACCTTGTTTCTAAAACATTGTGAAATATCCAGACCTTACTGCAAGCCAGGACGGGCGGCATTCTTCCTTGCGAAGGGAGCGGCATGGTGTGTATTTTTTTTACATAAAATGTAAGCAACAGAGATTTAACTCCTAAGGACATCCGTAATACAACTTTCAAGTTGTTCCTGATTATGCATAATTTAAGTAATGTTTCTTACTCTATGCTTTCATTCTACTTTGGCACAGAAAGAAAAGCGACGGTCACTACAAATTATAACTAAAACAAGCAGTTAAGCTTACCTTTGTCACGGAACATAAATCCACAGCATGAAGCTGCTGAGCTAGCAAATTTGACAAAATACGCCTTTGCATCAGGAAAAACACCACTAGCTAAACATAGTTTGTCGGCTGCATGAGCTTTTGAGCAAAACGAACCTGTCCTTGTAAATCTGTTCTGTCAAGCGGCCCAATATAATCCGGGGGTATACCGGGCTATTCGAACAAAGACACGTTGTGGGTGAACCCAGAATCGAACATGGCAAAGAGGTTGTAAGCCATCATGCCCAGGTTGGGCAGCATGCCGATGCCCAGAGCGAAGCCACGGTACATTGGACGCAGAGTATAAGAAACCCAGTAGACAAAACTGCGAAAGAGGAAAAACAGAACCAGTTTGTGGCATTTGAGTTTCCAGAAGGCCCTGTCCAACAGTATTCTTTTCATTTCGTTCACCCATTAACTTTTACAGCCCTTTCATTGTCCCATTGCCATACTGCTCAGCAGTGGCGTAACTGGGGGTTGGGTGGGAGAGCATGTTGCCCTTCTTTCTCAAAGCCCAAGCCGACACCCCCCCCCCCTCAGAAAATGGATATGGAACAATCCACTTTTGTCAGTGTTTGACAGTGCCTGAACACATTCAGTGCCCCCACCAGGGAGTGAGCGCCCCCACGTGCCCCAGCCCCCTCAAGATGCACCTAACCAAACAAAATCTGCGTTAGGCTCTTCATTTACAAGATAAATCTATGACACGGTAGGGCTGGCAGCCGTCAAAATTAGACCTACAACTACTTACCTGGTAAAACGTTGAATCAGTGTCATTGGCGATTAAAAACATGATTTTTGTTGGATACGACTGCATGTAATAACGGATCCCTGTAACTTACCGTCCGATTACCCAGATACCAATGAAGACGGGTATCATTTTAATGTAATCCTCCGGGATGTAGGTTGCCATGACGATGGTGTTCACGAGAAGCATGATGTATTGCTCCAAGGAGTGGCGCACGTAATGCTCGGTGTTATCCAGGTCTTGGGGTTCCTTGCCGCGCATGCGCCCAATCAGTAAGTACAGAATGCCTACAGTATTTGGATGAAATTATTTTATTGAACATGCAGATACGTATAGAAGTAATCGTGGCACAAGACGCTGTTTTTAAAATAACAGATCGCGGTAACTCATCACCGGTAGACAATGCTATTACATACACGAACCGCTGTAGTGGTGATCAATATTATTGTGATCCAGTAGCGTCTTGTATCAAGTCTAGGGGAAAGCAATAGAGGGAGGGGGGTCATGGCTCTGTCTAAGCGACCTGACAAAATCATCGGTAGAGGGGGAGGGGTTCGAGGCAGCTTCATTCAAACATGGGTTTTTCACAGCTTTTCTCTCCACGTTCGTTTTTCCCCGTTGCCGTTCTGCACCGCTCATGGACCGGCATCAGTTTCTGGTCTGAGCCTGATGCATGCAGGGTGTTGGAATATATTTTAGTAATAATATTAAGTAAGTTTTTATTGAGGGAGATGATATCAAAATTAGTAACAGACAAAGTTGTATTCGATGGAGCTGTGATTTGTGGTCAACTCGAGTACAACTCTCGCTAGCATGAGAAACAGGAAGATGATTCCGCATATTGAAGAAGAAAAGTTTTTCGTGATCGAAGGCGATGATGACAGTGTTGTGGTTACCGATGTGTACTTACCAAGAGCAAAGGGGATGATAGCCACACCTTGGCACCTCAGTGCGAACACCAGCCGGCCGGTCACGCCGTGCAGTGGCGGGATCTCAATGGGTATGTATACAGCGCCCACGTACACCATCAACGGAACGACGAAGAACGTGCTGGCCGTGAGCACCAGGTTGAAGACGTTGTTACTAGTCTTGGCCCGAAACGAGAACGACTGGTCCAGGTCCGGGTTCATGTTTGGTCGGGAGTAATTCTCCCCGTCCCCGTCGCGGACTTTCCTCAGGAGCTGGCTGGATTTCGTCATGGTGATGACAGCTGTAGGGACCAAATGTCGTTTTTATTATTAACATTATTAACTACATATTAAACTAATATTATTAAGATAATGGATGAGTACGTGGGCCAAGAGTTTTGGATGAAGCGAGGCCATTGTGATTGAGTTTTCCAGAAACAGGGTGTCTCATTGCACAATTTTTTATTGGAAAATATAGGGTTTCTTTATGCAGTACTCAATCGTCAGCCTGAGTATTCACTCCAAACTCTGCACTGATAGCCAGTAATCACATTTAAACGTTCAGGCAAAAAGCAATTTAAATCTTACCTTAACGATGGTGTTCTATCGTCGGCAACAGTAACAAAGAATGTTGAAGTTCTTTGCAAGTATGGAAAGTAAAGCCTGGTTGCGTAGTACGCAACGCCAATCGATTGCAATAATCGATACATGTGGCGGTTAGGCTATTCACAAATAACCACTTCAATCCCCTTTCAAAGGCCCACAATCGATTCTTTACTGAAGATATAATGGGGAGCATCGAGCCCCAGAAATGCATTTGTCAAATAAAAAGTATTTTTATCGCATGTTGATGTATGTTTCTGTCTTCACGATATAATTATGTTATACTAGCCTAAATTTCAAATCTCATTTTCACTAACTCCAAGAACTCTAAGCTGGTTTTCCTGCTCATTGCACGAACGCCCCAAATGCCATAATACATTTTGCTACCATTAATACATTTGATTTTATTCTTGTATAGTTGTGTAGGCCAACTCTTTTAGTAGCATTATCGTGACAGGCCTAGCACAAAATAGTTTTATTTTATAGCCTTCTTAGAATTATGTGAAAGGGGACTGTATTAATGTTGCTTCTATTTCTGCATGTTCTTCGGCTGTTTGTAAAAATGTTGTCAGACTGATCAAAGTCTTAAGATTTTCAGGGCTTTCAGTACTGAAGAAGCTCAAATTTCTGGTTCATTTTCCATATCTGCGTGGAACGTAATGACGTTTAAACGGGAAAGAGGGACGATGAACTTTCTCATTTCAGTTCAAGCTCATTAAAAGTTAAAGTTCAACTGAAGGCTTAAAAATAATACTCTATCTGGTTCAAGATACTGTTCTGTAGAAAGGGTGCTGCATTTGAAAAGGAAAACAAATGTCAGCAGGCCTTGGATTGTTCTAGGATATCTTCATTCGGAAACAACAGCGCCCTCTACGACACCTCAAACTTTCTCTCTCAGTAAATGTTAAGACGAATAAAAATTACGTTTATTGAAAGTGCTGACAAATGAGTTTACCAAATGGTACAGTAAACTTCTAATCTTTTCAGATTTTTTTTATTAATTAAAAGTCCATGGCGAAATGTTGGAACAGCCCAAAGGACAATGATAGAGGTCTCTCCTGGAGTGAGTTTTAAGATCAAAAATGATAAAAAACTAATGACCATTGTTCGGCAGCTCCTATCGACACATTCGGGTTATTTCTGCTATATTCAGATTCATGTACAAGTAATAGCCTCATATGTAAGCACTGTATATTCATTTACTTGAAATATATACAAGGTTAAGTCCTTTGTTGGAAAGCGTGTTGGCAGCCCTCATCCCTGGTTCCCATAGCGCATCTTGCCCGTCATCATTGGAGACTGGGCCGATGAGAACAGGGTTGACTGAAATTAATGCTGCGTCTGAATCGCTTGGCTACGGCTGGGCTTCGTGCATGCGTCTATGGGGAATAGCTGCTGCAGCTGGCAAGCAGCTTTCATCCCCAGTGGTAGCCGCGTCCTTCAGACAAAGCCCTTGCTCTGTTGCAGGTTTTTCTTACACCACCGGTGCACCTGCGCGGCCATCCGGTTGGGCCAGAGAAAGTAATATAGTAACCACCCCTCCTTCCTCCTGACACTTCAGTACTTTTGAAGAGAAAAAATTGAAACAAGCCGAGACCCACATTAAATTTTACGTTAGTTGCTCTTGCATGTCTGTTATAATTGACAGAGAAAGACTCAAGCCACCCGACTTGCAAATAAACTGGCGTTTCAGCAAGAGAAGAGCATAATAGAATCTTTGTGATCGTGCCCAAGAAAATTTTATTCCGAAGCAACCATTCGATGGAAACATGATTACAACGGTTCTAGGCCTGCCTCAAACGCCGGACTTCTGCAGCGTCTGTTACACTTAACTAAAATCGACATGAAACAGCGACCGAAAGTCTTGACTCAAACGTCGACTATCTGCGTGTCAAATTAAAAATTTGGGCCATTTTTTTGAATTAGACAAAACAGAAGTTCGACATTTGAAGTGGGACTTACACGTATGCAGCTCTTTAGGTGCCTCGTTTTTATAAAGTGTTTCAGAGCAAACGAACTTGGCAGGCTGACAAGATGTGCTTGGTTCAAACATTCCAAGATCACTGGCAATGCTACCAAAACAGGCGGACTGTCGAGATAGCTTGCTTCGTCCTAATGTGGCGATCCACTTTTGTGATTATGGCTTGTAAAAACCTTGTCATTGCCGACATCCTGTAAACCTTGTCAGCTTAGGGAAAAGAAGTTCGTTTGGAGTGCATTATGTGCAAAAGTAGTCATACTAAAGACAAATATACCTACCATAACTGACACTACATATTTTCAAGATGTATTTTTGCGTTGGGGAGATGTTAATTATATATAACGGGTTTGCCCTTACCCAACGTATATTAATAAACACTGTATGCTCAGTGCTTGTCCGAGAGCTTGCGAAAAAAAAAAACCTCACAAGCTTACTCGGGTGGGACTCGAACCCACGACAGTCGTTTATTAATATACGTTGGGTAAGGGCAAACCCATTATATATAATTGACACTACATACATAACCACGATTTAGAACTCATTCACAATGTACAATTTTGTGACTGCCTTGATCACAAGATGGTTTAAAATGCCAGTGCGGGCTGGGCATGGCATGTCAGAAAGCCCAACCAAGCATTACATACACCGTTCCAATGTTATAAATTGTCTGAAAATATTGCAGCAGTACCCATTTCTTGCTTGGGCAAGTTCCACCCAACTGAAATGATATGAGCAGAAAAACTCAGAAAATTCCATGCCGAAACTTTACATGGTATAATCAAAGTCACAAGAGCACACACAGGCAAACACACCCAACCCTCATACTTTATCAATTTTAAGCCCCCCCTCGCCAAATGTCGCGGTGTTCGGCAAATTTTAGTCAGAAAGCACCATAAAAATTGCCAAGAAAGCAACTTTAATTTCAAGAGAGCAAGAAATGACGACCATTTATTTCACCCTTTACAAGCACAAAATGGAGCGCAAAGTTTTCTTGTATGAACCCCGAGCTGGACCGAGAGAGGGCGCAGTTTTCTCAGCAACGGGGGCGCCATTGGTCGGAGCTGAAGTTCTCTGGTTTATGAACGATGAAATGCACGCGTTACGGTCGCATCGCTACCAACAAAATTAACACACCCGATAAACATGATGTCTTTTTAGCCGATGACGGGGTGTTTCTGCTTGAGGCAGATGGATACAGGCCATCAAATAGGCCGAAAACGGCTTGCGCGGGCCAAATCACAATTTGTATGCTCTCAAATTCTCCACGAAATAGAGCATTTTGTGGCCCATGAACTTGAAGATTTGTCGAAAAGACAGGTTTAGGTGGGCAAAGAGAATACCAGCTTGCGTCTGAGTGAGATTTGGAAGGAATTGTTCATTCCTCGATCTCGCAGGAGCGTGAACTCATATTGTGGTGTGTGGAGTCCTTTACAATTTAACCTACTTTGGCTGATCTCCGCAAAGAATAATTTTTTTTTGTAATTACGGCGTTAAACACTCTAAGTTTACATCCCTAATTTTACGGCATTATACGCCCCAACTATGGAGGAGATAAGCGACCGTATTAAGAAGTGTCAAGAATATGTACACATTCGCATAATTTGTATTTACATGTCCATGATCAAAACGGGATTCCGTGAGCGGATTGCTCTTTTTGTTGTTGGTGAAGTAATACGCATGTGTTCAACTGTTTTTATCGTTAATACAGGGGGGCAGTTAGATGTCAAATGACGAATGAACAGCATATCGAACGTTTGCAATGAAAATCTCGAGAAACTGAACACAAATTGAATTAATACCGTAAAACGAAAGGATCCTCGAAGTTACAAGCAAAAACCAATTATTGGAGAGGTAAAATGTAAAGGCTTATAGACATACTCGTTTTTATGGCAATCTGAGAAAAACGTTGTCGCAATTCAATAGAATTGTCGAGTCGCTCATATTTACACATCTGTCACAGTCTATCAACCGCAAGTTGACGCATCGACGTCTTAGTAATTCTGCAAGGTAATTCCAGGATCCTCCGTGGGGAAGATCTTAATTTTCTGCACCTTAGAGCTGCTGCTCTTAAGGTTCCCGCCTTCTCTGCACAGCTTGCTGACAATGACAGCGAGGAACGTTCCGCAATGCTCGAACAGCTCAAAGACAGTCAGTATGGACAGTCCCAGCCACAGTCCCAGCTGACCGCCGATGTCGCTCATCAGACTTGGTATCTGTCAGGAGGGATTTAGAGTTTTTCAGTTGAATTCCCCTGTTATGACCACGGGGCGTCGATTAATTTGGGTATAGGAATATGAAGAATCGACTCGAATATTAGCAAGTGCAATACAGTGAAACAAGAAGGGGGAAAAGTCGGTTCCTTTGTCACCAAATTGCTTTCTTAAAACCTATACAATACCCAAATAAATGAAAATAAAGCAATAGTTCTGCTTCAAATTACTTACTAATAATAAGTTATCGTAATTATTATAATGTGTTATTTCGTGTATCACTGAAAGATTACTAGAGGTTTTCTGTTGACGAAACATTTACTGTTACAATCGAATATTTGATCAAATTTCAGATATGTGTTCTAATAACAGACTCAGTCCTTCTCTGGGGACGGATATCTAGGGGCGCACTCTTCCTCTTTCAAGTATTGAGGACATATCTCTTTCAATCATTTACTCCTCTCATATTCACTATTTTCAACCATCGAATATAGGCCTAGATATTGTAAGCATACTTTTTTGATAAGAAGGTTGATTCATTTATTGCGTTATACCGTAGAGATAAACCAAAATACAACTTTCCCCGACAATTTAGCAAACTTGAAAGCGCTGAAGTTAATTTCATTCGACACACATTCAATTTTGCGATTTGGTTGGTAAAGGGTTTTTTTGTCCGTAATTTTTGCATTCAAATTTGGTTTCGTGCTCAGAAGTGCGCGTTTTAATCCTTCTATTACGTTCATTGGCGATTAAGAATTCATTTTCACCGGTCTTAAGTTTCTCACATTTATGCATTTATGCAATCGAATTAATAGGTGCTCCCAGAAATTCGTGAAAAATGTGTATTTGACTTTGTAAAACATGAATTCAATTTGGCGCAAATTTTGCGAACGATGTTTATTCTAGGTTCATTTGTGCTATAAATAGCATTCGATTTCATTTTTCATTGATCCCTTGAATAAATGAATCATGCGTAACGTTTTATTTTAAAAAGTACACATTAGGGATTAGGCTTTCGGTCTCACGAATGTGTAGCCTATTGCTTTCAAATGTGCAATCCATTTAGCAGAAAATCAACTTTTGATTAGTACACGGGCTGAATTGAACATTCTTTTTCATTTGTTATAAATAAATTTGCATCTTCCGCATTCAATTTGAATAAAATATCAAATCATTATACAACTTTGATTGATAAATAGTCAATGCATTTTAAATGTTTTTGTATATATAAATATACTCAAAGACCTCTGTGAAATGTATGAAATGTTAAAATATGTAAATCTGATCCAAATTAAATCAAGCAATATAGTCTCGAGGGCATATTACCTGTCTTGGGACGGTTAAACGTGTCATGTTACATACAGATTTTAGGACCTTTTTATTGTTTTTTTTCTCTATTTTGTATATTCTAACGTCTCCTTTATTTCGTATAGGCCTAGTTCTTTCCCACACTATAGTAGTTTGATTGTGTACTCGTCAATGACGTGTCTATACCAGGACATCGAGGGAGATATGTCTGATAATGGTTGCACCAGGCTGTGCAGTTTGCAGGTGTCATCTCTCCAGCGTTACGTGCAGCCACCTCCTGAAGAGGGAGGATCTTTAATTGAAGGTTTTTACACCAAGTTGGACTCTTACGCCTTGGTCTCCAAGTTGTCCTGCCACTCAGGTAGCCTTGAAAGCCAAGTGCGCTATTAATTTCCGCTATATTCAAGAATGGCGCGAGTATGGGGCAGCAGCTTGATGGTAAATTGCCGGCACTGTGGGTATAGTTGGGCTGGGATATATTAGATATTTGAGTTCATTTTCGGGGAATACTACACCACATGCTTGTACAGTTGTCGCTGAGACTCTTCAAGAGCCGCTCTATCACTGTCTCTGATGATATTCTGTGAACCACAGGTCCAACTTCACCAGAAATGGCAAACGCATTATTGACTTGCTTGCTTCTCTAGACACGACACCCCTCACTGCACTCCCTGTTGAGCTGACCATAAGACCGACGGAGATACGTTGTATCCAGTCTCGTCAATGAACAGAGTTTCCAAAGACATCATCCTGAAGAAACCAGCTTGCGTACATCGTTCATAGGAAACGCATGGCAAAGTCCTCTCTCCAGGAAACTCCCGCTGGTTATAGAGTTCAATTTTTGAACGTTCATGCTATTTCTCACGAAAAAGAATGCTCCGTTTTACCGATTCATTTATACATGTCACACATTTTCCCACATTGTTCAGAAACCCATATTCATCGATTAAGTGGAATCTAGATTCATTGAAGAATTTTTGATCTGGTGTTTTCGCTTATAGTCAGCTTTGTAAATGATTCGGTACATTTTTAGAAAGGTTTTTGGTAACAGCCATTATTGGTAATGTGCATTATGCCTCAACCTATATGCATGGTTTTGTTACATCCTGCACAGCAAATAAGCAGAAACTAGATAAACAGAAATGGCTGTCTATCTATACTGTGTTATTTATCTAGTGGGACGACTCAGAGCCCGAGGCATTATTTGATTCTCAAAAGGAAAAGTAAAGAGTTGTATCTTGAACAATCCCTCCAGGTATGTGAGGCATTGATTTTTCCTCTTGCGTCCCTATTCAGGGTGTTATGATTGTCGATGCACGATGAATGTCGGTGATTGCAAGCACCGATGGCCTGCCAGTTAAACATTTCGTCGCTGATCGACTAAAAATCCCTAATTTCCGTGGGCTAAGTAGCGTGAGACAGGAGCAGATGACTTGTTATGGCTTCGGACAAGGCTGAAGCTGAGAAACTATTGGAATGTGGTGCAAATAAGGTCACCCAACTTTACATGAATTGTAAAAAAAGTTAAAATGCAATAATGTTAACATTCTATAATGTTTAAGGTAGACAACCTTAAAAAAATCTGCCTGTCTTTTATAATGGTATTTTACGCGCAAAAGAAGGTCCTCTTTTTCAAATAATTAAAAGGTGGATTTTCGGTTTGCTTAAAAATTTGCCTCACTGCAACAGAAATACTTTTGCTGTAACAAAATTTATCGTTTTGTTTCAACTTTTTTTCAAGACCAGATGGGTATATTTTGATGCCTCAACTTGCAGCACCCATGCACCCCGACTTCTTTCATTCTTTCGTTTCTTCTTCCAGAAAGTGATGAAACTTTTGCGGTAATGAATAAGATTAATCCCGTTGAATACACCTACCGTGTGGGCCGGGGACTGTTTGATGTACTCAAAGTTGAATTCTTGGAAGTAGACCTCAATCTTAGCCACGTTTTTACTGTGCATGTTAAAAGAAAATGTTTGTCAAACTCTTTATTGTTATGTAATTGAAACCGTACATTACAGGTTAAAATCGCTGGTTTTAAGTACATAACAGGTTAAAGGTTAAAACGTCCGACGATTTTTATCAACCATGTATAACTAAAATAACTACGTGATAGGGCCACAGACACACGGTTCGTCACCCTCCCTCGGTCACGTGCATGTCTGTCACTATGCAATTAATGTGTAGATGCATAACAACGGGAATGACGCAGAGGATTCCTTTGAACACACTTTTCGGTGGTCGTTATTTCCAACATCGCATTATGCCGAGATTTCAATTTCAAAGATACTGTACATGTAACCGACAGATTAGCTGGGATAATTCAGCTCATAGTCAACCAAGGACACGCTGGGAAAGGACGGTGAGTAGGCAAATTGTATTGTTTGCAGACTCGATGGACGGTCCTTTACATGCTTATGCACATTAGATACAGTCGATAACGACAAACAACGTTTTTGAGAATGAGACCACAATGCGAGTGGATGAGCAGATGTCTCACATAAAGATCTTGCATTCTTCAAGCCAGTCTTCCTACCTCGACCTAAATTTGGCTCATCTTCAGATTATCTTGAAATGTGAACCTCGACCAGAGAACTTAATTATTGGGCAAACAAGGTAAACAAAAAAACGATAGGACCCTGATAAAGAAATCGCGCTCATGCACATGTCTTAACTTGAGCGCATGCGCGCACTTTAGTAAGTCACGGCACCCCATTGGTCAGAGAGGACTGTAAGGCGCATACCACCTGCGTGCGAATAGGATGGTTACACTACACCAAATACGCGCCTACACAAAACAGTGCAAAATCAGACCAAAATAGCGCTGCCTGTTGACTCTCGTGAAGAGGTTGGCCTTCGTTTTTTTCACCGGAAAATCAAGATTATGGCCACAAGATCACTTTTCGTTTCAATTTTATATGGGTTAGCCACGAAAATATTTTTAATCGCCATTCCCAGAAGATACCCCCAAAGTAGTGGTAAAACTACGCGCTCAGCTCTGAATGTAACTGGCCGCCTCTATCCAAAATAGGCCCGCAACGTGGGGCTCTTTGTGAAAGAAATACCCCGACCTTGAAACTATCAGTTCCAAATTCGGGATTTATAGAAATATTTCTGTGATCCCCCCCTGATTATGGCATGTCTTATTGTAATAACCCCGTGGGATCACAAAATATGAATGAGCTCGCTAGCAGAAATACGACCATTTGGTGAAATGCACCCGGATGGCCCCGCAGTAATGGTTTCTTGTAATTCCTTTTGCCGGATTTGTCTATACCAGCTGCATCCATTTTCTTTCAGTTTTATGCATCCATTTGTTTTGGGAGATCATTTTGATATAAGACACACCGCAGAAGGTGATCTCCCCTCCTCTGCTGTGGAGTCCAAAATGGTCCCAGATCCTGATATTGATAACTTTCTTTGAGGACGTCTGGGTGATGTGTTTAGTAACAAGAGGTATCATGCGCCCTTGGTTTCGAGAACACCTAAGGAGGTGTCTCCGCGTCAGAATGTTGTTCAGGATATTTCTTTTTTTTGTCCAATAAGACTCAGTCGTAGCTGGTGATTTGGCTCGTGGCGAACTTACATGACCCAGTCCTTGGGTGACGGTAAGTGTTTAAGCTTTTCCCGAACTTCATTGTTCCGATCCTTGATGTCACGAAACAGTTTGTCCTGTGAGACACCACATAAAAAACCACTGCGTCATCAAGGGTCTTCGGCTCTTGATCACAAATCCAAGTTAAATGCATAAACTTCTGTAGAGGTGAGAATGCGTTTTCCCTTTACAGGATTGGAGAAAAACTGCACTCATCTCTCTCCTTCTGAAACTGAGGCCAGACGATCTGGTGAAAATGGCATTATTGTTGGGCTGAAAGAGTTAGGTAAACAAACCACTAACACTCGAGTCTAAACTATCAATTCATTCGATGAAATGAGTTTTACTCAAACTCGTGTGCCCATCTAGGTTTCCATACCGATAGCGTGTTTAATTTTCGGAGAAACCGAACAGTTCCAATTTGCAAATCTTTTCTGGTCTTCCGTTAGTTATAAACAACGAGACCGGAGACCTTAGAACTACTTCTTATCATACGAAATAAGTTCTACTTATCCAGATAATGAACTTTCGTAGTACCTGGAACTGATCAGAAGGCCAGATGGAGGAACTTGCTGCTGTATGGTAGGTTGTCTCGCTGAAATTCAATATAAGATCTCTGCTGTATTTAAACGCCTTCATTGCAGTTTAGAGGTATGGTGATACACAACATTTATTAATCATAGCTACGGGCATCGCGGAGTTTTAAAAAAGGAAAACAATTCCAAAGGAAGAAGGAAAAGGAACTCAAAGGAAATAAAGCAAAGGGATTAAAATCACTAGTTTGTTTAAAAAGTCCTAAAATTATAACTCCCTTCCCCCCTTTGAAAATTTTTCACCCTCCTCCCGGTGACGCCAGCTCACAACGAAAAATGTCATTGATATTGTGAGCAATGCCAAGGGGATATTCGATTGTGTCTTTGCAAGAAATCACACCTAACGTCTACTTTTTCATGCCCGATGGGTTTTCTTAATGTGAAATCACTTTCATAATTTTCAAGTGTGAGAGATCTACTTACTTGCACTGCTGAAAACAGTAGCACGTTAGGGTTCCTTGCTTGTACTTCTCTTCCAAGTCAGACATACAGGACTGAGCTAAGAATTTTAAGTAAAGAAAAAATAATACACTTTAGCTGCCAGAAATTGTATGCTATAGTTGCTAAGCCTGTGTTTATCATCTTTTAATCATCATGGTGTAAGTATGAAACAAAACTACAGTTAGGTGCAAAATTCGTTTTAAAAATGTTTTAAATTTCGTATCCATGCTGAAAACAATTCTACAAACCGGAAGGGGTGTCACTCCAAATAGTATTTGCTGCACACAGTGCTTCAACAATTTTGATTATGGTGTCAATTAGAGATGCGAGAACTGACTAACGATACTTCAAATCGATCACACATTGGGGTACCAGTATCGATACCGAATAATAGTACTATGCTCACTGAAACTGTACCTTCATCGTTATCGATGTCACAAGGGTAGACGGTGTCGTTCAACGTGTTCGGGTAATGTGGATCGAAACAGCCGCACTGACTGATAACTTCCTTCTGGTAGCAGCTACGCTCACAAGCCTGTCGAAACAATGATTATAATTCGCTTAAACGTAACGTTACTCTCTAAATATGCGTCATGTTTTGCGTATCATTATGCTAGTGTTACTGCATATGAATATACTGAATGAATCGATGAATCGATGAATTTGACTAACTTATAATGCCAGGCTGGAATTACGCTTTATTTTTCGCGGACTGTAATGAATTAGGCCCTGGCCAAATCGAATCATTTAGGGCTATGTCTACGGCTTTTGCCACTGCTACGCCACGGCGAAAAAACATCAAAGCACATGGAAATTAAGGCTGTGTTAGATGCGGTCAATGAGATCTAGTGATAGACGGGAACCAAGGTACCTTCAGACTGTACGAGACTCCATAGCGATCCCTGAAGATGTTGCCGTCGTCCGGTTCATCATGCTTCTTCGTGCAGTTTCCATAGGGGTTACCAAGGCGTTCGATAGTCACCTGAATTGAGGTGTGCAGAGTTCTTATTAAAGTAAGGATCATAAGTAGTTATCTCATGTCCTCACTTGTTATGAGGGCATAAATTTAATTCTAAAGCATATATAGAATAAAGCTTGGAATATCAGCAAAGATGTCAACTGCTCCCGCTTAAAAACTTCATTTCAATCTTTCGTGCAGGTATCGTATGTTGGTGTGATAAATGAAGAAAAAATAAAAAATAACAATTTCACTGATGATGAAATTCAATACATGACCACATGTAATGACAAAAGTTAGGAAACCTCCAACCTGGATACATCATTTCTTCTTTTGAGAAGCGCACTATTGTGTGGCCGGTCATAGAAAAATTATTTCATTAAATGGCGTGCTCTGGCAATATACTCAGCGACATTTTCGGCAAACACTTTTTACAACACTTTTTGGCGTACCACGCGGGCGGTGATGGCAGTCTTCGAGCCCGGTGAGATGGAAATGCCATCGTCCTCCGGGAAGGGCATAGTGTCGCGGTCGTGAACCACGAGCCTGAAGCCGGCTGCCTCGGTTATCTCGGGCATGAACTCTTCCTGCTCAAGGAAAAGCTCCAACGTCAGTCCTGAGAGCAGAACAACCATCATACGATCAAACTGAACAAGATTTGGAGGTCAGTAATATTGCTAGGATGTGTTTTGATGTAAACCCAAGGTTGGCGTCCTATCGACCACAGCCTTGGTAAGTGTTTTCAATCACAAGGGAGAAACTGCGTAGGTATTAATTTTACGGAATAAAATGAGTTTAGAAGCAATGGAAAGTCGTTTGCCATGGAAATTATCACTTTATAGAAGCACTTCTCCTTCACATCTTGAGCCCGGTACAGGGTAAATGGCAAGAGTGTATTATCTTTTAAACCACACGTTATTGCTCATCACTTAAGTTTGTGCTGAGTGAAATGATTCGAACCAATTAGCTCGCCGGAAATCAACAAAGCAATGCAACTGTTAATACAAATGAAGCAGTTTACAAAAAGGCGGCACAATTCTGCTTTTAGGAAATATTTTCCCTCGAGATGAAGTCGTACATTGGGGTGATGCTTCATACTGGAAATACTGTTTACATTAAAGCAAAGGGTCATAATCCAAACGAAGAGATGTGGCTGATATTCACCATACAAAGGCCCTGGGCGACTGGTTTTCAGGGATTCACCAAACCTGAAGGAGTTGAAAGTGTAGCAGTTGCCGAACTTGTAGTGGTAGAAAGAGGTAAAATTTCTAAAGAAACAAAATAACAACGAGAAGTGCTGTTAGCAAGGGAAGAACACGTGACATGTTACATTCTGTCAGTAAGACCAACTATCCAGCAGTCAAAATGTTCTGTGATTTGTATATCCTTGTAATTATTCTTGTATATGAATACATTATTAGTTGGTTGTTTGCTGCCATTGGCTTGTCTGTCGTTTCGGTTGTTGTGTGTCGTTGCCGTCGCTATCTTTTCCTGTGGATGAATGTCCTTACGCGGGGGAACACGGGTAGCCCTGCCATTGGCAATCCAAGAGCATGTCTTCCAGCAAGTGGCCCATGTCCATGCGCTGAGTCTCGGTCAGGTTAGCGAGGTGGGAAATCAGCCGCTGTTCTTTCAGGTAGTCGTCATCTCGCTTCTTGAAGAAGTCTCCGGTCTGCCGTTCCTCCCATGCCAAGATTGTGGCCTAAGAATACAGGTACAAAATGTCCAAATTTCAAGATCATCAAAGTACGTTCATTACTGAAAGAAAAGAAAAAACAAAATATGCACATTAACAATCATTATACACATATCACATGTAGAACAATCAGGTGAACGTTCGAATTCAATCATGGGCGTAAACCCCGGGGGATACCCTGCACTTTTTGACCATGGGTGGGGGTGGGCTATTGAATCCGTCTTCCCACTTTTTGTGGTGAGAAAAAAAATAACGCAGAGAGTGACGATTTTTTTCGGACTTCCCAACAGCCCAATTGCATTCAATAGCACTCAAAAAAGAGAACAACAATAAGCCATAAATATGCTATTCTGCCGTTACTCCCAGGCCAAGATTGTGGCCTTAGAATACAAGAACAAAATCACCAAATTTCAAGATCATCAAAATACGTTTATTACTGCAAGTAAATCAAAACATGCACATTAACAATCATTACACACATATCACATGCAAGAACAATCAGGTGAACAATCGAGCACACTGGGTTTAAGAATAATAAGCAAACACGCACACCAAAGATACTGATTGGACAACTGAGCAATGCAGTATCAACCCTCAGATCGTTTGGAAGAATTGCCGGATCAACCCCAAACCCAAGGAGTTTTTCAGCCACTGTAGCGTGGTTAATATTGTCAACGGCCTTGCTAAAATCAAATGTACAAAAAGTGACAGAGACACCACCCTTATCAATATTCCTATGTATTACATGAAGCATATCAATGAGATAGTGTGTGACAGAACTATTCTTCATGTTGCCATACTGTTGAGGATCAATGTTACACCTGACATCACTCATGATGCAATCTGCTAAAAACCCCTCAAAAATTCTTGCCATTATTGGTGTTAAAGATACAGGTCGTAATTTATCCAAACTGTTGGCACCAATTACCTTCGGTACAGGACAGAGGAATTTTTCGAGACCGTCGGAAAATGACCAAATTTAAGACAACAGTTGAAAATAAACGTTAACGGTTCAGAAATTTCATATGCGATCTCTTTTAATTAACGAATTCGAACATCATTCGGATGAGTTGCCTTAGAGGTGTTCAACTTGCATCATTTCTTATAAACCTGAAACTGATAAATTCTCGGTGGCGGGGAGGGCGCAGGTAAGTAAGTGATGTATGTTAAGAGGTGGGAGACTTGAACAGATTGCGGCAAAATGCCTATTCAAGTCATAGGCAGCAACCAGATCAGTTTATCAGCAAATTAAAGAGAAAATTTGTTTAAAAAACAGCCAAATGTCAAATTTGTCAGTGCCACTTTCCTGGCTCAGTATTTTTTTAAATGAGCAATTTTTTCTCGTAAAAAATTCTTTGGGCCGACCTTATCATTTTCTGCACCTTGTTTCGTAGTGAGCTGTAATTACCAGCATGCTGTTTTAAGGTAAACACCCAATAAAGTGGTCCATATTTATTTTATAAATAAATCAGCAGCACTTAAAAGGCGTAGTGTGTGGGCTTGTACTAGTGGGATACCATGCTGTACCTCTCATTTCAAGGTCACTGTCAAACTCCGATTTGTTTACTTACCCGTTAGGCTAGGCCCCTAATGGCATTTTGGTACAAACAAATTGACACAGGCATAAATGCAGCTTGACACGAGATGGTACAGGAATTGCCAGCACAGTAGTGCACGCAGGGGATTTTTGATTAGCCTATAGGAGAGAATTAGTTAGTAGTGTGACGTGTCCACGATCCTTTCAAAGGTATTCATTAGTGAACTCTTTGGAAGGTTTTAATTATGAGAACGAACTACGCTAGCGATTTGCCAGACGTGCGTTCGTGTGGTTTTATTCAGCTCAGCTCGTTGTGCTCCTTCGCTGAAAAAGAGGTTGGTAACGCGTACGGCCGAGTCAATAAAGATAGTTTCTCGTCCGCTTTTAATGGAAGAGGTGACTCTGTTTTTACTACAACTGACATTTTGCTACTTCTGTATCCAAAGCAAACTAAGGAACGGTTAGAACTAGTGCAGAAAGTCTTCGATCATAGAACAGCACCTCGGAACACACATATACGAACCGGATACTATTTGTTTCATGTACATTAAATTGAATCTCGGAGTTTAATTAGTCGAGTTTAGCCCACCAGAGACAGTTCCACATCGGAGTCAGAGTTCAACCACCCCGCAATAATTGTCATTTGCTATGGAGAGTTTGATACAAGAGATAATTAATTAGGTAAACACTGGGAGAATACCAGCCCCAATCCCATGATCCACCCAGCCACCAAACCCTTCAATTCTCGCGGGAAATCATCTCCTTAAACCAAGTTAAAGTTAAACCAAGCTCGCTTAAGTTCACCAAATCAGAAATAGGGCATCGCTCTCAAAATCTAATTATAACAATTAATTTTTTTCAGTCGAGGTCAGTGCGGATTGCGCTTGTCTCAATAGTTATTTGGTACAAATATCCAAGACTGAGGGACTGTGGTACATGTTGCAGGGGGAAGACATTTTGCAGACTCATGAAAATTACAAACCGAGGCATACCATCACGAGATTTGCTCCAATGAGGGGAGGGGCACAGTTCTCCAGGGGGCGTGCCCATGCCTCCCTTGAAAACTCAGACCTATATCTAAAAGCAACCACGTCACGATGTATTCCGTAGGTGGAGCAAACATCAACAGGAATCCAATAAACCATTACAAGTAAAAAAGTGTTAATTTTGAGGGTTCTCCTCCAAGCAAATTGGTGATGAGCTGATTTTTGTTTTTACAAACTCGTTCACTTTTGCCTCTCTTTTTCCCTTTTTGTGAAACATACGAGCGGAGCTATTTTTTCTCATCTAACTGACGTCTTTAAAGTTACAAATTAAACGTTTGATATCAATTTAATGGGTAAGAGGAAAGGTGATACCCCTAAAATCGAAGAGGTGATGTCCGCCAGATACGATGGGTGGGGCAAAGTTGAATGCATGCTCAGTCATTGTCTATATTTTGATGTGAAGGAACACAACATAACTTGGAGAAAAGGGTAGAATTTACAAACTTACAAACTTAAAAAGTGAACAAGGTATATGTGACACTGCAGAAATTCGAAATCTGCTGAAAGAAAAGGTTCCATGTTGGGTAGTTGAAAAATGTAATAATATATATCGATTTACTTTAATTATTTGGTATCGTTATTTAAACTTGCTCAGACGGACACCTCTATTTAGAGGGCGCTGCACTCTGGCGACCACACCCAATCATTTTCTGTCTACGTAAGATTATGAGTTTGCTTAATTTTTTGCTGTCGTTTTGTTGAGTGTGGCCTTTTTGTATTCTTCATTTAAGGCACCGTAATGGATAGAAAGCACAGTGTGTTGTATATTGTTTTCTTGGTGAGTTTTGTGAGTTCTTTTTATCGTGTGATTTTTGCCTGACCAGTACCAGAGAATTTGAGGGTGTGGCAGCCATTACCAGTTCTACAGGCACGCGTACCACGTGTTGTGTACGGTTGGGACACTTTAATGGACTTGCATGTACGTTGGAGCAATGCATCTAGCAAAAAGCCTACAGATACTGAAATTCCAGCTGCTCTGAAACGCAGGAAACGTGGCAGGAAAGATGGAGTTAGAGAGCGAATCAAGAGGAGGAAATTTAAGCCAACACTTCCATCGTTAATTACTGGGAATACTCTATTCCTTCGCAAGAAACTCGATAAAATGAAATCTTGCTATCTTTGAAGACACTGGGAGTAGCGTGACAGCTGTTTAATTTGTTTCTCAGAATCTCGGTATTGATTCTCAACAGTTTCGCAACATTGATGGTTTTGCTTGTATTCGAGGGAACAGAAAAATCTCTTAGGAATGTCAAGTGTAATGAGGCAGCTGGGCCTGATAGAATTTGTGGTAAAATTCTCAAAACCTAATGTAATTGATCGTCATGTTTCATTTTTTTATTTCAGTGGTCATTTGACCTTCAGGCTATTTCTAAACTCTGGAAATTCTCTGTTGTCATTCCAATACCAAAAATACCTAAGCCAATTGCTATGAATGATTATAGACCAATAGCACTCACAGCTTTTCCGATGAAGTGCTTTGAGAAGATTGACGGGATATGCTTTTGTCACAAACTAAGGTGATCATTGATCCATATCAATTTGCGTATAGGGAAAGACGAGGTATAGAGGATGTTGTTATTACTTTGCTCCATAAAATCTACGTACATCTCGAGATTGCAGCAACATATGCCAGAGTCCTGTTCTTGGATTTCTCATCAGCCTCTTATACAATACAGGCCCATGTGTTAATGGAGAAATTACAAAGGCTGGAAGTTAATCCTGTTCTTAATTTATGGATAATGATTTTCTGACTGAGCGACCACAGAGAGTTCGATGTAATAACGTCCTCTCTGATGTCAATGTGTGCAATACTGGGTCACCTCAAGGCTGTGCTCAATCACCAATTCTGTTTAGTGTATATTCAAATTATTTCAAATGTACAGACTCATCTTGGTGTACCGTAAAATACGCAGATGATATTGGATTAATTTGTAACAGTGAAGTCAATGGATACAGAGACAGTGTTGATCAGTTTGTATCATGGTGCTATGCCAACTATCTTACCCTTAATGTTGCTAAAGGTAACGAAATTATATTCGACTTCAGACAAGGGAGACGTGATCATGAGCTTTTAAAAATTATGAATGCCAATGTGGATATTGTTTCTAAACAAAATTAGTCGGGGTTTAAATTGATGATAAACTGAACTGGAAGTGCAACACGGGAAAAATCAGTGCTAAGTGCAATCAACTTCTGTATTTTCTTAGGCGAACGAAATCATTTAAGGTCCATAGTGTTATTTTGTACCTGTTTTATCAGGCAGCCATCCAATCCGTTTTATCATTCTGTAGTGTAGTGTGGTATCATGGGCTGTCAAATGAGAACATTCAAAAACTGAATTGCATTATAAAATCCGCATGTGGGTTGGTAGGCGCTGACATTCAGCAGATGGATACTTTGCATAGTAGAGCTAAGGAGAACGAATTCCTGACCATTGTGTCTGACAACGATCACCCGCTTCATCCCAGTGTTGTTTTTAACAGGTCTGGTAGGGAAAGACAACTTAGGATGAACAGGGATAGGCTGAGGAATTCCTTCATCCCTACGGCCATTAGAAATTACAATAGCAATTTTTTTCAAGCTAGCGCTACTTCGAGGTTTTCAAGGGGGATGGTATTCTGTGTCTAGGGGTATTGCTTTAGTGTTTTATATTTTGGTATATAGGTAAATATGGTTTTATTCGGACTGTGAAATTGTCTATCTTTGATTTTATTTTTCTATATTTTAAATTAGTGGTCTAACTATGACCCTCTCGCTGTGGATTTTGATCTGCGTTTTTATTGACTGGGATAACAATTTTTATGTTTCTTACATGACTTTTTAATAAATGATTGAATGAATGAACTGTTATATAAAAAGAGTTTTGGTCTATTTCAAACGTTTTGAAAAAAACTGGGGTTAGAGTTGCACAGACAGACACCACTTATGTTCCCTTGCAGTAGTTCATTAATCATCAGAGAGTGATTATGTCCTGAAAATTCAAATTTAGTGGTAAAAATGTCGAATTTTGCCTTCACTTAAAAGTTTTTCAGACCAGAGATTGTGCACAGGTTGTCAGGTGATGTCCGCATTAAGAAGCTGTTTCCAAATTTTGCACTTCACTTTGGGGATTGCGAATCTTCAGAAAACCTGCCATATGACTAACCTCTGTTGTCCCGTTATTCACACTCGAAGTTGAATTCGAATATTCAATGCCAGCTGTAGTTTCTGGGCCCTCTGTCGTGATACCAGTGGGTATAGCTATCGGCATCGTAGCTCCTGCGGTAGGCATCCCTGAACCGCCTTGGCCTTTGCCCTGCCCCATGCCGGCACCGGCCAAACCTTGCGTGGTTAGCGGCTGCCCTGCTTGCTTCATAGTCCCCCCGGCTGTAGACCCGGGACTCATATCTGTGTTGTCCCCTGGATTGACAGCGCCGGTTTGATCCTCTGGCCGAGGAGGGGCGAAATTCACGTCGAACAACTCCCGAAACCCGTCGCTGGCCCGCTCCAACTTGGACTTGCGCACCGGATTGATGTTGCAGACCGTGACCGCTGGGAAATTCAGGGAGCGATCGAACCTGACGTCCAAGCTGACAGTGTATTCGAATTTCAGATAGGTCGTGACCAGAGATATCACCTGAATTGTGAGCGCCGTGACGCCAGCAAAAAAGAGCAGAGTCCACGCTGCCTTTGAGAGGAAACTCTTTGAGCGATGGATGTTTGGCAAGCCGTGAGCTGAGCTCGTCTCTAGCAAAGTATTCAGCGCTCCTAAGAAGGTTTCTTTTTGATCACCACTACCCATGTTCTCTGATTCTGCTTGCCTACTCTGTGAGAAATCTTAAAGAATAAATCTTTAAGACGTGCATACGGTTTGCTCAACGTGTCCTAGAAGAATAAAAGTGCGGTGTTTAAGTTACAAGTTATATACACCTGTTGATCGGGATTGCTGCTTCCAACAATAGGAGCTGGGATGCTGAATGCTCACATCGATCGTTGTTTGGTCAGTGACTAGCCGATATATCGTGCGCATGCGCGATTTCTGACTGAAATCAAGGAATTCAGTTGGAGCAACCCATTACATTATTATCAGTTAACACTAAAGTCTTGAGTGGATTGCCTGATTGTTAGCTGCCAAGGGTTTAATACGGAGTACCGGAATAAGACAGGGCAACATGGCTTGCATAGGTTTGTTTGATAAACACAACTATACTGAAAGTAAGCCACTTTGTAGCCAGCTCTGATAATTTATTTCTACTTCTGACTATTTGTGTACAAGAAATACCCCGACCTGGAAGCTACCAGTCCGAAATTCGGGATTTATAGATATATTTCTGTGACCCCTCCTGGTTATGGCATGTCTTATTGTGAAAACCCCGAGGGATCACAAATTATTAATGAGCTCGCGCGCGCGCAGAAATCCAACCATTTGGTGAAACGCATCCTCTCCCACGTAAATTTGGAAGAGCGCCCTCAAGCTTGGGGTTACATTTTACCTACGTGTACCGTCTTTGTGTGTGTGACACTCAGGAACTAGCT